ATTACCGCAGTTGCGGAAATGCAATATTAGATATAGTCATAGCCTATTAGTCAGCATATGACGCAACAATAGTTTTCCTTCTCTATTCTTACCTTTTGGCCTATGTTAATCCGAATAAATGTTCTCTGACATTACGCGACTCGCAGTGACGTAGAATAGGTCATTGGCGTATGCATTTGTTTTCCATCTCATTCCACCCCTACCCTTATCAATATCGCAAATATGTTTGGACGAGATCACGCTAATACATATCGCCGAGACGATTAATTATTTTTGTATCGAGAAGCATAAGCTAAAAGAAAAAGAATTCCAAGTTGAATTCCAAGTTAGATAATGCATTGCAAAGCTACGTCATAAAAGCATATTTGTGCGACGAAAAAGTCTTACTCGTGCGAGCGAGAACGAATCCCAAAGTATGATTCTCCTGTTCACTTTAATAACTACGCGACTGCACGAATTTCACGCGCGTTTTATATTAATTCATACAGCCGAGCTTTTGCATGTTCTTATTAGGTACGAAGGTCGGAGACCGTCCGCTTTCGCATAATTATGTTCACGATGTTAAGACCTAAAGTATCTTCGTTGAAAACCAGCGATAGCCAAGAAAAACACGTAATTTTGAAACAAAATGTGTTGTATCTTCCGAAAGATTTAAAGATAACGCTCGAACCCATCAGTAATCAGTAAACATTCTTAAAATTCTTCGTTTATCAGACAGAAAGATTCAGAAAGGCTTTATAAAATATCGCTGCCGTATCTTTAGAAGAAAAATAAGAGGTCATTCACTTTTTACGCCTATGTTACTTTTTAAATTAATATATAAATATTATAATATACAATATAATTTAAATATAAATAACATTATATATTACAATGTTTATATATTATTTTAAATTATAAAAATTTAAATTAAAATTTATATTTATTGTAATATAATTTATATAATAATATGTAAAAATTTTGATAATGTATAAATATTTATTTTGACAATTTTTAAAAACAATAGTTTACCTGAAATATTTTTTTTATATATGATACAGAGAAAAATGTAAATGTATTTAAATATATTTAAATTTAATAATTAAAGAAAAAAATATATATATTTTTTAATTATACAGAGTGTTTTCAGCTTAAATATGTAAAAACTTAGATTATAAAATTCAAATTTCAAAAATATATACACAAAAGTTCTTTTAAGGATATGTTTGTGAATGCCTTACTTGAGAGATGTTAATCAAAGTTATGATTAAAAATAATAAATAAAATTGTTATATAATTGTTAATGTGAACTTGATAAAAAAATATTCAAAGTGCAACTTGCATATATCCGTCACTACAACACACGCTGCAACACACCACTTTTTTTTACCTTCACTTTTTTTTACCTTCGCCATTTAATCGGACAGGTGAAAGAAGGTTATAATGACTCTTGTAAAGCGCAACAGTTAAAACAGTTTACCTGTTATATTTTATTATTATGACTATACATCTTATTATTTATATTTAAATATATATGAAAGTATTTTTTGACACAGTCTAATGCTTGACACGTGTTTTAAATTACAAATTTTAAGATTAGTGGGTAATTATATATACATGTAAAAACATTTACGGTACTATTTATACCTGATTATGATAACGAATAATTACGTATATCGCCATTACCGAATGATGTGTTTCATGTATTTTAAAATTTCTTTTTGATATTAAATTATAAATACCATGATTTAGAATTATATACAGTTGCGTACTCTAGAATCTTTTATGTAAGTAATTGATCTCAATTCAATACTTAACTTCTGAAACGGTGATCTAATAGAATTTCTAAATAACAAAACGATCATCAATAAAGAAAAACAATTCTTAAAGCAATTTACTTCACATTCAGTAAACACCTCTCTTTTCAATAGTCTGCGGTGAATTTAACATCAGAGACACGTAAAAATATGTTACATAATCGGGCTTAGCAGAAAACGTTTTACAAAACATATGTGAAGCTAGAAAACGTTTTACAAAACACGTGTAAAGTAGAAAACGTTTTATAAACATATGTACAGCTAGAAAATACATAAAAGATTAATTTTTTACTTTTTAACTTTTATTATAAAAGAGCATATGTTAAGAGGAATTTGAAAAAGGTTATTTTCAAATTTTTTCATCAAGGACGATAACATTGAAACCGACATTTGAATAATTTATGGATTTTAAAGATTTGAAAAGCTTCATGTATCAGGGACAATGCGAATAAGGTCCAAAGATTTTATGGTTATTATACTTTCGAATGTTTTCTTAGAAAAAAAAAATAAATAAAAATAAAAAAAAATGAAAAAAAGAAATGAAATGAAATGATCAAAATAATCTTTGTGTAACATGAATACTTCAACAATTTTTATAATATAAAAGAAAATTTTTAAAAATGATTTTAAGTCGTTTAGACTAAAAACAATTTAATATCATAAAAAAATATTTTTATATGTGCAAAAATACTTTTAAAGCAAATTGATTTAAAATAATTTTCGTATTGCCTATTTTTTATTGAACTTTATTGCTTTTACATGATATTAAGCGAATGTGCATGAATGATAATACATCATATGCAGACGCATCACTAATTCATTGCACGTTCGTTGTACATTGTGTAATGTTTGTCGCATAATCATGTCTAACTCTTGTTTTTATCATTACACATATTGCATCTATATACTGAAATAGATACTTTCTAAAAAATAGCATTATAATGATATTTGTTGCATATTTGAACTTCTGATTTTATTTAGAAAAATATATAAAAAAGTAACTTTTAAATATAATCGAAATTATTTGCACTGTAATTCTCTCTCTTTCATTCGAATATGACAAAGCATAACGTTATCACAATAGACCTAAAAATTTTTTTAAATCATATTAAAATTTTTCGTAGAAGTATATTGAATTACGCACACAAATTTAATAGTTTTATTATTATGACAGTTTCTTATCTTAAATTGTCTAGAAATAAAAATGTGTTTAAGATACTATAATTTATGCACTTAAGATAAAGAACATGACTGCCAATCGTTTTAAAGTGCATTTATTGCACGGTGTGATATGACCGAACACATTTTTAAACACATAATTTTTACGATAAATTTTTATTCAAATAATTTTCTTTAGATTGTATTTTTTCTTTCAAAATGCAAAGTTAACAAGTGCGATTTCTTTATTTATTGTTTAATGAGCCTGGATAAAAAATGACAATGAAACGAAAACATTTCGAGAAGAAATATAATTTAACTTTTTACATTCACAAGCAACATTAGTAATAAGCTATAAAATATGAAAAGCTTTAATTTTATGTAATATATAAAAAAAATATAGTTTGCCCTATATATCTTTTTTATTACGGCAAATTTCTGACGATTTCCATTTATCATAGATAAGGTCTATCCATAAACTTATTTCTTTCGATAAGAATACAATTACGTTGCAAATTAGGAACATTAAAGGTATGCTAATCACAAGTTAATGCAATAGAATGTACTTAAAATTTCCTTGTAACGTGTATTCTCTAAAATTATTTTTTTGTTTTTATTTTTAAGCAGATTTTAGAACATTTTCCAATTATTTGGAATGAGCGATAAGTTTTACTTGGTATATTGTATACTGGTTTTATGTGATACATGAAATGATGTTTAAGCACTGACTGAGACTCATAAGATGTATCAAATTTTCCCATCTCTAATTGCAGCTTTTATTTATTTTGTCGAAATTCTACATCTTTTATCTTTCGCAGAAAATGTAACAAATAGTATACATCTACAATGAAATGCTTGTCCATGGAAAACACGTGTTGTTGTAATTTGTTTTATTCGATGAATTGACCGTAACACGCGCGCTTTTACTTCAAACATTTAACAATGTTTTAATGAACTTTCTTCTCCTTGAAGTCGATATCTTAACGCTCTTTGTGACTAATTATCGTTCTCTTGCAAATGCATGCTCTTGCACCATTTTATTGATAACAAATCGAGCAGAGAAACAAATGACCCGCCGACTATTCTTCTTATTTCTTCTTCTTTTTTTTTTTACAATCGATTATTTTTTTTTTTTTGCTAGAAACATTTTCCGCTTTAAAACGCTCGGCAACAGTTGTACGCAATTTAAGCAGAGACGTAGTAGTAGTGTCGCTAACGCGTTACGCATAGACGACGCAACCGCGTTGCGAAAGAAGGGCGTTGCGGAAATTGGCGTGGCCCGATACGTCACTAAAACGCGTGACGTAGTTTTCCTTGTAAATAAACTTCTCGCGAATTATATTAAAAATTGAACCGCGCGCATTGGGCCACGCCTTCAATCAATATTTATGACATGCTCGCGTACTTTCGAGAATCGAATCGAACGAGCGTTCTCGTCACAAATAACAACGCGCGTGCTGTCTCTCTTCGGCTTATCAGACGCAGAGGGGACGTGTGATTATCAACATGTTTTTGATGCTCCGTTTCACGCGCGTGCTAGCTCGGGTGCTCTGATGCAATATTTCCTCCCTTTTCACTCGTCCGACGCTCTCCTCTCTTAGTATACGTAAAAATCATCAATTTGACCTCCCCCATCCCTATCCCCTCTTCTCGCCCGTCATCGTCAAAGAGGATGGTCAGGCGGCTCGACCGAGGGAGGGAAAGAAGGGGCGTTGATTCTTAACGATTTTTTGTCTTCCTCCCTCTCTCTCTCTGTCGTTTCTTTTCTCTCTTTCGTCTCTTTCGCTACCTCTCTATCTGTTTCTCTTCTCTCCCCCTTGCGCGCTTCACTGATAAATAAAATATTAACCGACGTTTAATTCGAGCAGGCCGTATTCACGAGCGGACGACCGAATCGGTAATCAGTAAGCGAACGAACGAGCAAACGAACGAACGAACGAACGAACGATCCGAACAACATACATATGTATATACATATATACGTTTCACCTGAGTAAACGTACTTTTTTTTTTCCCCACTTGTGGATACTCAACTACTGTAGCCAGCCTCCGTGTAGTTTTTGTGATCCGTCAAAGTTAGTGGGCCATTTCATATACCGTGAGCGGACCTTGCTTTTCCAGTCTCTGACTATCCTTTCTACTATACTTCTTAGGTGCTCACCAGGATACTGTTACTTGTCATTACTTATCGGTTATCTTCCTTTCTGGATTCCAAAGTGAACGACGTTCCGCAATACGTTCAAAGAAAAGTAAGGAAGAAGCAGCAGAAGTGGGGTGAGCGTTCACGTAGAATGAACTGCGCGAATATTGGAAGCATCGCAAACGAACAACCACGATCTTGTGTTATCTACTGATTCTCTTTCATTTTCTCCACGTCGAGTAGATATTCGGCTCAACAATGGTTCACATACGACGCAAGGTAAGCAAGAGACCGGAATCCACCCTTCTGATCCAACTCGTTGATCCTCGAAGTTGCCGCTGATGAAATCTCGGAAGATTATGTAAAATGACTGGAAAAAAAGAAAAGCTCGGATATCGAAACGAAATAAAGATCTCTATTTTATTTTACGGATTCATCCATTTCCTCTCTATTTCCCAATTTCTTAGAAGTTGGGAAATACAGTTTGTGTAAAACGCGATAATTGATCATTAACTCGCACGTATCTCGAATGCGAATCACTATAATCACGGACGGAATTTTGTTATAATTAATTTTAATTATTCAAGTTTAAAAGAAATATTTAAAAATATTTTTTTGTAAGAAATATAAAACACAGATTTTATAAAATAAGGATATTATTATACGATTATTTTTTTAATAGTAATCTCGGAATCTTTATTTATTTATTATTTATTTTATTCATATTGCAATGCGTAGAGAATATAAAATTATATTCAGCTAAATTAAAAGTTGAACTTGAAACGTCAAACGTAACATTTGCATCGATTAAAAATCCTGCATTTGAAATAAGTAATCGTATGTACATGAAGCATTGAAACTCCGAACAAATAAGCAAGAAACACTGATTGAAAATATAATGAATCACGAAAAAAAAAAATTTTGCGTCGTGAAATATGTTAACGCGTATAAAGGCAGAATATTGTCTATTATAAAATGTAAACTGTAAAATATTAATCGTCAGTTTATTGAAATTCAAAATTTTTAAAAATTAACATATATATTAATATTCTATACCTATTTTCTTTATATGAGTATTCTTAATTCAATATTCTATAGATCGATTTATAAATTAAGATTTTAAACTTTACATATTTTTATATCTATTACAAAATTTTTTGTGTAAGATATTAAAGAAAAAAAGCATTAAAGAATTTTTATTTAAACATATTCAAAAATGTAAATTACGTTTTGTTCTCTTTTTCCTTGAAAGAACATGATATATATCAATGGTAATCGCGAGTGAGAAAAATTGCACATTTTACATGGTTAACATAATTGCGTTTTTCTAATTAAATTGGATATTATATATTTATTTAAAACAAAAACAAATTAAAATTAAAAGAAAGCAAATTTAATACAAATTGAACGAAAAATATAATGTTGCAATTAATAGATTGATAGATTCAAAAATATTTTAATATTTGATTTATGAAAGAAATGAAAGGTGACTTTAAAATAAAAAAATTATAAAAATAATTTATATATATAATTTTCTATAGATATAAAAGGATTGTAATAATTTAGATTGAGTTCATTAAATAATCGATAATTTTATTAAACTATGATTAAATCGTAATAAAAATATGCAGTATTTCATATAATATTCCATTAATTCCAATCATATAAATTCCGATGTCATAATGTCATTATGAATTTTGGGATTATCCCAGCACATTACATATCTTAAGAATATATAATTATTTGCTGTAATTCAAGATAATTCGAGATAACAATTAATAGATGCCATAAATATTTTTATTATGTAAACTTAAGAAAGATGTTCTTATGATATCGCTCAAACGTTTTATGTTTCACAATTTATATCGATTCATAAAGATAAATTTTTCAAACATTTATATATTGATATGTTACATGTAATAATAATGAGATTCTTGAGTCTTTTTTAGTTTCAAGATAATGTTCTCTTTGAATGAATGTTTAATCATTAATTAGTAAATTTATGATGTGTTAAGAAACATCAGTATCTATATGTGAATTATAAAAATATAGATATTTTTTAGAAATCAATATTCAAGGATGAAAATTAATAATTTATAATTAATTACTCAATTACTGCCAATTTGTTAATTTGCTCATATAATATTATATCATGCAAGAATATTTAATAATTTCCAAGCTAAATTTGCTTAATAAGCATTTATAATAAATTAATGTGAGCAATATAAGTATGAGTTTATATTTTTATCTATTATATGTCATACATCTTTTTTATAAGTCAGCTAATTCGTTAATTTATAATTTCAATCCAACTTAAGCACATTTAAATATGAAATGAAATATAATTATATACGTCTTATTTACAGTTATAATTATTGAATATATGAATATATGAATAATTATGAATATATATATTATATTTCTTAATATATATTATATTATATTATATTTCTTAATATTTAAATATATAGCTTTACGATTTTTTTACATAAAATACAGAAAGAAACTACATACGTCTGAATATCTGAACTTTGGAGGAAAAAATGAAAACTGATAAAATGTAAACGAAATGCAAATAAAATGAATACACTAATCTATTTGTGCTAATATTAGCAGATCCTTCCATTTCGATTTAATCAAATCATTGTTTGTTCATTCGCGCATGATTTCCAATGACATTTCCATTGAACATAATGTGTAGATTTTATCTTGTTCTATATAATGTCATTATATCTTTTTTAAATATATATATATATATATATACATATATTGAAAGTTATATATCTAATATCAATTGTCAATTAGCATCTCGCAATTAGCATCACGCGATTAGATCAAAGAGATATTTGTTATTTTTATAATTAATTTCCATATATACGCTTCCTTCTTCTTTATTATACTGAATATGTAGGCCAGTAGATAGATCAAAACCAAACAATTTGCATACATATTGGTACTTGCACATATGGTTTTACCAAACAATTTGCATATATATTACAATATTTTAAATAAATTTTTCTTAGAGAAAAGATGTTAACGATGCTTATTACTTTAAAGAATTTTTGGTAAGAGTGAAATATCCATATCGAGTTATAAAAGATTTTTAATTCTTATCTAATTATCTAATAATGCATTCGTGTAGTGATTATAAGTTTCCCTACCGCAATAAAGTTTAGTTAAAACATACTGCTTCAACTTATTTCAATTTTTCAGAAATATTAGATCATGTATCACGTGTGATATTTCTAGAAACGATCGAACAAATATGTGGTATCTGATTAATATTTTCGTCAATAGATATGGAAAATTGCAATCGTGTATTTCTCTTATCGATACATATTTTTCCTAGTAGTATTCCATTTCATAACAGATTGATTTTTCTTCTCTTTTCTTCAAATGCATATATTTGATGAAATGATAAAGGCGAAGCATTACGCTTTTTGTATCCTTTCTTTAACTTTCTAACAAATAATTAATATAAGAAGACACGACACGTGTTAGTCAAAAGTCATTAAAAATTTTGAATTCTCGAATATCATTGTGAAGATACGCGTATTTTACTACAGACAAATACAAATATATATCTTTGAATTCCAGATTTTGTCCTTTGGAAATCTGATTAATCAGTTGCAACAGAGTGTAAGATGGAATTCTTCTTTGAGAATTAAGGACAAGAACTCGACGCAACCACAACGTTATTTTAAGGTATTTGTTTGTTAGTTAGAATAATTAAATCTAATATGGATGAGAGTGAAAATGCAATTTATTTACAGTATGCTGACTTATCCGTTCGCCTGGCTGGTCCAGATCAATTAAATCCTAAACCTGATGTTGATAAGCTTTCGTTTGGGAAATATTTCACTGATCATATGCTCAAAATACATTATTACGAAGGCATGAATGGTTGGCAGGCACCTGAAATTATGCCTTTCGAAAACATAGTTCTTCATCCAGCTGCAAAAGTCTTTCATTATGCTGTAGAGGTATATATAATATTTTATATATCCCGGTGAAATTATTTAAAATTGGAACAGGGTTAAGAAAAATGAGTTATATTTGATGATTTTCCTATATTCTACATTACAATCTTTGATAGATTTTTTTTATGATTACAAAAGATTTTTCTTAATTAAATATTAATATTTATATCAATGTTATGTCTAATTGTGTGTATGCGATTCTCATAAAGCTTATAATGCTATTCTTGTTTCGCCATTGTTTAATTATAATATGATCAGGATAGAATTATTCGCCAAGATATATATCTAAATAAAGCTGATAAAATCTTCTTTTATCAGATTAAATTCCAATAAAGAAATTCTTGAAATATCCCCCGTCAAAAATATTCAGGCGATAAACAAATCAAGATCTTGAAGGGTATTTTACTATCGTCCGTGATATTAGACTCAAAATGTACATATAACAATGTTTAAAACATGTAGGATATGCAAAGATTGTTAGACTTGTACGTATACTAATTGTTACGTAGGTAAAATCCTTTGCGCGCTTTAATTTGGCAATAGTAATACATATACAAATCTTTCCTCAGTTGTTTGAAGGTATGAAAGCTTATAGAGGTGTTGATGGGAAAATAAGGTTGTTTAGGCCAGAGCTAAATATGGAGAGAATGAATAATTCTGCACTAAGATCTGGCCTACCTCTTTTCAGAGGGGAAGAATTAATTAAGTGCATTTGCAGATTGATTAGTATAGATCAAGAATGGGTTCCACATTCTACCGCCTCTAGTCTTTACATTCGTCCTACGCTCATAGGAATCGACGTAAGTATCGCCTTCTATCTATCTATCAATATCAATTTGATTCAGATTTGCTTTTGTAATGACGTTTTATAATAATTGATCATTGTATTGTAAATCATGCTTTTGACGCTTTCTGACGGTTATTATTTTCAAAAAGATTAATATGTTTATGGATATTATCCGTGTCATCATACATTGTTAAATACTTAAAGGAATTTAGTCATCATAGATTATCATACGTCAAATTATTATCATTATCAAATTATTATTATTATTATCATACGTCAAATCATATGTTGTTAAATGCTTTAAGGCCTTTAACAACGTATGATAACACGGATAATATCCATAAATATATTAATCTTTTTGAAAATGATGCAATTATAACATCTGTACATTCGATCATATATAATCAGAGAAGAAACAGCACTCGCTTATCACTTATGTCACAGACGTCATCGAGACCGCTGTGTATGCCCGCGCGAAAGTAATCGTTACATCGTTTCTCAATACCTAATGATAATACTTGATAAATGGAGCCGCGATCTTTTGTTGGTGCATGGTCACATGCTGTACGAAACGATGGATGCTCCTACAATCAAGTTATTTTGGACGTTGTCTTAACTTATCATTCAAAAACTTTTTCTTTTCTCTTTTTTTTCAATAAATTTTTGACAGAGAGAGTCCAAGAATTGGACGTCGTGACAAATTCATAATCATTGTGGTATCAGTTTTTATCGTGTGTCTATAAAAGAAGTATCTTTTCTTTATATTCTTTATACAAAGTTTTATTATGCTTTTGTGATAAATTTTTTTCAATTTTTTTTTTAAATAATGTATCTTTCATCTAGCATGTTAATTAAACGTTTGAGGTATTTTTTATTCAACTTTAACGTTTTAACTTCCTACCGAGAAAATATGTGTTGCCTCAGAGTTAAACTCTATGATAACATTATTTTCAGAAAAACTTTTCCTTCTTTCGTAATCGACTTTCGTGACCCTGACTAGTCATCTGATTATTTATTTAGTTAGTTTTATCAATTCTGATACAAATTATATAAGCAATGAAATACATTAATAGCTGATGTAATAAACTTTCAAATTTGTATTACAGTATGATGTAATAATAGATACAAATAAGTTATAGCTAACGATATATATTACATTAAAAATTAGCTTTTATACTCATGAAATGATTACATGAAAATATAAATTTAACAATTAAAAGTTTTATAAAAGTATCTTTTTAAACGCTGACATATCTTTATATTTTAATAAAAAAAAAAAAATCCTTTTTATAATCTGGCTGAAAAGCGCATTTTATTTCTTGTTACAGCCTACGCTTGGAGTCGCAACCTCGGATTCAGCTTTATTATATGTAATTTTATCTCCTGTCGGATCTTATTTTAAACCTGCCGATCAGCAAGTTGGAGTTTCCTTGCTTGCAGATCCTAGATTTACGAGAGCATGGCCTGGCGGTTGCGGTGATGCTAAATTAGGCAGTAATTACGGACCTACGATTCAAGTTCAACAGGAAGCTGTTGAGAAAGGATTACAGCAAGTATTGTGGCTGTATGGAGAGGATAACGAACTCACAGAAATTGGCACTATGAACGTCTTCATGGTTTATATAAATGATAACGGAGGTAAAAAAACGTACTTCAGTAACTTTTTAATGCATGTCAACGCATAAAATTGTCATAATGTAGAAAATTGTTTAATGATCCGAGTACTATCCCTATAATTATTTTTTACAGAAAGAGAATTACTCACACCACCCTTGAATGGCTTGATCTTACCCGGAGTTGTAAGAAACTCGCTTCTAACTATAGCAAGAGAATGGAATCAATTTAAAGTTACGGAGAGATCCATTACGATGAAAGAGCTCATACAATTAAATTCCGAAAACAGGGTAAGTTTTGTACACGTATCTCTGTTTCTCCCTCTCTCCATCTTTTCCTTTTTTCCGTCTTTTGTCTTATAGAATCATTATTATGATTAACATTTTTGTTACAGTTATTGGAAATGTTCGGGGCAGGAACAGCATGTGTAATTAGTCCTGTATCCTATATTGACTATATCGGTCAAGGATTGCATATACCGACGACGAAACAGCCCGAACCAATTTATCAAATGCTCAGGAAACACTTATTAAATATACAATATGGAGTTATACCTGATCACCCATGGAGTTTAGTCATCGAATAAAACGATAGAAGATTGTACTTAGGATTCTATGACTAGTTGTATTGAACGTTATATATATAAAACTTTTTTAATGACTTATGCGGAATGAGTTAAATTAATATTTATTTATATTTCTGATTACTTCTGTTGAAGATAGTTATATATACATATATGTATATGTATATATATTTGTATATATATATATTGTGCGTGCGT